ACAAACCTTATCATGGTTAAAAATCTGGCATTCTAAATTCCTTAAAAAATTGCAATTTTGTGTGCTACATTCAGTGGCCTAAATTATTCTAACAAGTTTTGGTTGGTCATATGCGGATTATTGCTGATATTTATAGTATTACTTATAACAGAAAAACAATGCAGTCAAAACACCAAAAAATGAAATATATGTATGGACTCCTCGCACATATATGTAAACATAATTACATAAACAATTGCGAAGAAAATGTCAATCATCGCGACAGTTTAGTAAGGCATATTTTAAATTTTGCCATTTTTGTCCATTCTTTAATCTATAGTTCATTTTAGTATTCTAACGATTTTGGGTATGATAATATACAATCTAATTAAAATTAGATGTTCCGAATCCGCTACCGCTTCTCAGTTTGAGAAGCGGTAGCGGACTCGGAACATCTAATTTTAATTAGATTGGATAATATACAACCGTATATTAAACAAATTATGTCCTTTTTGTACTTTCAACAACAGGAGTTGTAAGAAAACTCTAGAAAAAGAAGGAAGCTGGACGTGTAAAAAACCAAATGCGCAATTATTCTAAAAATAAATGTATCAACAGTCACACAAATGGCTATCTATTTAGGAAGAATAAATGAGATTCTATATATCGATCTGAAACTGCGTCTGTCAGAGTTTAACTAGGTCTTTGGGTGATATAATTTATACGAGACTGTCCGTGTGACATTGGCCAATGGACTTTTTTTAACCTGAAAATATCTTTATCTTTCAGTTGAATTCTTTATTCAACATTTTTGTTTAAAATAGATGTACATGTACATGTTAAATACCTTAAGTTGTGCAAAACAAGCCTTGATCAAGACAATATGGTTTTATTCGCATGATTAATTCAGATCGAAATGGTTACACTGTATAACTGGTATAAATATATGCGTTAGAGAAGTTTTCATTTCGCAACACTTTCACGTACATGCAAGATTTGTACAGATACATGATCATAATACACAACGTCTTTGCTTGTTCAGAGTGCACTGAACTTCAAAGAATCCTGGCAAGAAAATCTGAAAGTATACGAACTTTGTGTCATCGACGTGTGCAATATAGAGAGTATTATACAGGTCTGGGGATTATTTTTTCTTCTTTGATTAGAAGTTTTTTAATACCTAATACCACGTGCACATGTAATTACATATAGACTTCTACAAATTGTTCTAAAGACGGAGCCGATTGCATCTGTTCGAATCTTTCTACTCATTATATACGATACATGTATATATTTGGCAAAGATTTATAGCTGAAATATTTTTAAATTAGTCTTTGCAATGCCAATGTATTTTTGGTTACTTTCCTCATATACACATTACTTATTTGTCCTGAGGAGAGAATTGTATTGTTGTTCTGAAACGCATTTTTTACAAATTGTTTCCTTTGTTATTGTTTGTTTATTTTTCAGTAGAGTAGTGCTTTATATACATTCATTTCGTGGCCTTGCATTAATTTTACATTTGTTTTCCTTCATTTCTTTTTTTTTTTTTTAGATCTCTCTCTCTCTCTCTCTCTCTCTCTCTCTCTCTCTCTCTCTAACAACAATGCAAACGAACCTTCGATCATTCCCCCCAGTTGGGAGACAGAAGGCACAACTGTTTTGTCGAGAACTTGACATCTTGTTTGGTTTCAGTATACAGAGGATAAGGTGGATCAACATATAGTGACCTTTTCACAAGGGGGTATTTAATTCTTGATATACTTGTAAATAGATATACGCCATATATATACATGGTTATTCATTTACATACTTGATCTATTTCGTATATATATACAATTGTATACGAAGAGGTTTGGTCGTGAAAATAAATAAACTTATGCGTTATATTTATTTAGCATGTCATTATAATATTATGTCAATGATGCACAGTATTCAATTAATTAAATATGAAATTAATTTGACGTCTGAGTAAATTATTATAATAGTAAATACATATATGTAACAACCCCCATCCCTTAATGATTCATCCAGTACAAAATATCAAAATCAAATGCAACCAATCCATCTCATCAACAAAAACTTTGGATTTTTTCTTGATACCTGGTATATGATATCGAAAATATTTATATAGTGTTAACTGTTATATTGCTCATTTGTACAATTGATTTACGTCTTTTTGAGAATATTTTACACACATTGGGATGCCACGAATTGCAAGTGGAAGACTGCAAATTTAGGCCTGTAATCTGAATATATACTTATGGTCACATTGCCGATGATGAGCAGCGAGGGATCATTTTCGTACCAGCTTCTACTACGGCATGGGACGGGTATTTACGGTCTCATCCGAAGGACTAGTAAAAATGTGTTACATTAAAGTTTATCAAAAAACTTATTTATAATTATGGTGAGCATTTTGGACCATATTAACAACTGACTAAAGATGGTCAACTGCTAATATCTAGTCTATCCCTTATGCCATGCGTACATTTACTTCGGAGGCGCTAAATTGTGGATAGTTTCAGAGGAAACTCGAAATCTTGCTGCTACCCTTAATTAAACGATCAGCAATGCGGGCAGAAATATATCTTGATGTTAGGGATATGTGATTGTCTCTTTGGTCTCATCTTTCGTGGACAGTCTTAACATGATCTGATCAAGTTTTCCTCAGTGCAGCGACTACTGACCAATCGATATACAGTTGTTTAGTGTAAATTAAAATGACGAGCAGCCAGTTACATTTGATATAAGCACAAAGCAGCTGTCCTTAATGAATTACGAAATATTTCCTTTATTCAGTGTAATTCAATGTACAGCTTATGACATTCCCTTTTACCTCGTACGAGTTACTGATGAATAAATATGTACAACTTACTATGTACCCGCCACTCCCAAAAGCGACACCTATGAGTCATTTTTCGAAATGAAAGAAGAAAAGAAATAGTATAATCTAATCTTTTTTCTCTGGTTTTGCTCGAGGATTCTTAAACCATGGGTAATATAAATGGCTATTACATATAATGTTCTTATTTCAGACATTTCTTTCATAGGTAAAACATGAATCGATGAATTTGTGCGTACTTTTCAGCTCTTATTTCGTGGGCTTGTGTACAATGTATCATAATTTAGACACGGTGGCCTGATTTTCAACCAAATGTTTAAGTCCAAGTGTAAAATCTATTCCTTGTTACCAATTTATATAGCTGCAGAACTGTAGCTATCTGATTCAGAAAATTCGGACAGACAAAAATAAAATAGAGGGCGAGTAGTAGCAAGAGATAAGAGCTGTATTGAGCAGGTCCGGCACAATCTCCTGATTAAGCTATATAGCTTGATTTAGCTATATAGCTTTATTAAGCTATTCAGAATAGCTTGATTTAGCTATTTTATCACACTTTTTTCTCAAATGTGTTATTTTCCTAGTATGTACAAAAAGTCGCACCTTGGTGCAGTGATGATATTCAACCTTGAACTCTTATGAATATAATGCATGTAAAAATCTCTCATCAAATTGCGTCTCCTTAAGAGACTTTGTACTCAAAGTTCTAAAAGTTTTTGGGGCTATATAAAGCAATTGATACAGTTACCTCTTCAATGAAATTATAAAGGAGGCCAATTATGGTCAACAAGATAATTGATTGGTAATAATTCAGTACAATGAGAAGCAATCATACTTATCCATGCCTCAACTCACACAAGGTAGTGTACAGTTACCCAAACAATGGAAATTCATCTTTTGCTTAAAAGTATTCAAATGCTGCAATGTTAGAACTATCTTTGATTTGGGTTGTTGATTTGATAACCCATATTACATATATGAATAGTCAAATACTTGCGACTTTTTGTCTAGTTTGTACAAATAACATTTTTGTGAAAACCTGTATATAAATAGCTTTAGTAAGCTATTTTGAATAGCTTAATAAAGCTATATAGCTATTTCAAGCTATAAAGCTTAATCAAGAGATTGTGCCAGACCTGTTGAGTACGTTGTAGAACCCAAATTATGATTTTTTACAACGGTAAAAAGTTCAAGCTAGACGGCCAGCATTGTAAAATCCTGGTCATACTAAAATTACGCCTGCTAGAGGTAAATACACCAGCCTAGAAAATCTGTACACCTGCCCTGTTATGTATCAAATATATTCCGCACGCTTCGAGTGTTATTGCTTGTATAACATGCATTCCCCACCAAAATTATGGTATCTGTTAATTAACTATATACTTTACTCATAACCTTGGTACCTTTCAATGGTCCCAAACAACCCTAAGTGGCTTGGAATATTTGTGTGTTTTTTTTTTACATCGCATTCTGACATCATTGCCATCATGCTGTTTGAGACCATTAAAAGGTGAATAAAGTAATTAGTATCAAGATTATGATTAAATGTATGGTTAATTAAAGGATAGGCAGGGAATGCATATAATACACAAAATAGCACCCGAAGCATGCCACAAAATAGTAAGAATAATCTAACTTTGTCTCAGGACAGGCCCTCACCACAGTTAGAATGCCTCCCATGTACATGTACCCACAATGTACATGTAGCAGAAAATTCCAGAATTGTTCCAAAACGATTTTGGATAAAGTAAATGGAGTTGCATTGAAAATAGCCGCAATTAATCATAACAAACCTTTTTGAAAGACTAGTATGGATACATTTTAAACAAAAGATTTATTTAATCCATATAATGGAAGGTTTCAACACTTTCTCTCAAATATTTTAACTCATTTCAAATATACTCATCATGTTCACGTTCCAAACTCTCTGGATATGCACCATGGAACACATTCTATCCTACAACCGGGTCCGTAGGACATTTTTCATTTTAATGATAGAACATTCTGTCTAGCCACAAAAAAGCACTGCCATGATTTTTCAATGCTTGGATCTGTAGTTGGTGGTCTGTGTGAATTTTCTCTACCAGAGAGCTACAGTTCTGCAGCTAAACTTTATTTAATGTATAAATGTATTGTATATAAGTGCATACAATCTTGACTCTTTATTTTTCAATATAAGGTACACTTGATAAGTTGGGGAACTGGCCTTTTGCATCTCTGATGGCCACCATCATTGTTTTTGTGGGAGTTGGTGTGTTTTGTGGAACCCTGTACCGAGCATTACAGATCATCATTATCAATGTCATGGAGGGGTTGTTTCAGTTTACAGTGACATGGTAAGTGGCACCTGAAAACAAACATCACTTACTTAAAAGATTTTAATCATGTTATGATTAGAGTAAATTCATAGTTTTTCTAAGTCCAGAAATTAGATTTATAATCCTCTCTGAAGACATTTAGTAAGAAATCTTTGATGTGTTAAAAAACAATGAAAATAATCTATGTATATCCATGTCAACATTTTTTTTCCCAGACCAGTAAAGCAGACCATTTTCATTATATATTTTTAATATACAGGAGTATTCATTTTTAAACATAGTTAAGACATGTACCTTGGTAATTTGTATTTGTGATTAATGAGAAAGTGTACTTGTCTTTCTTTACTTTTAATTTCCTAAACTTCATTTAAAGGTGCTTGGACACAGATTTGAAGTTAATATTTTCTCAAATTTTCTGTATAATTTCATGACTTATATGTTGCTATAGCATTTCATACTAAAATATAATAAAAATCTTATTTCAACTCGAAGTTATTAAAACTTTGAATTTCTGGACGCGTTGGATCGACACATCCTTGCGCTTTCACATATTTTAATTTTATTCTTAATACTTAAGAAAAGTGGCAATTTTGTTGTGTATTAATGAAAAATATTAAAACTATAACCCAGAGAATTCAGAGTAGAAATGTTTGAAAGCAAAACCCACTCACAGTATTGTAAGTCCGTGCTCAGTGGTGTGTGCAGAGTTTAACAATTGAACACACCCGGTGAATGGTAAACATTAACAATAGCAGAGCTCGTGCCCAGTTTACAAAAAAAGTTTACGTTTCACGGGTGTGTTCAATTTGTTAAACTCTGTACACATCACAGAGCACGGACTGACAATACTGATGAGTTAGTTTTGCTTTCGAACATTTCTACTCTGAATTTTCTGGATTATAGATGTAATATTTTTCATTAATACATAACAAAATCACTTCATTTCTTAAATATTAAGGATAAAGTTAAAATTTGTGTAAGTGCAAAGATGTGTTAATCAAACGCGTCCCGGAATTTGTAGTTCCAATAATTTCCAGATTAAATAGGTTTTAATTATATTTTTGTGTGAAATGCTATTGCAATATATGATATTATACAGAAAATTTGAGAAAATGTTATGTTCAAATCTGTGTCTAAGCACCTTTAAGCATTTTATTTAAAAAATCTAATTATAAAGGAGATAGGTGAATGTAGCATGCAGAAAGCCTATAGCTTCAGATATATAAAAATTATGTTCAATTTGTGAATTTAGTATTTAGAGTAAAGTTCTCATTATTTAAATCTATGAAATTATGATAAACAAAACTTTTCTGAGGAAAATTTTCTCGGCAAAATTTATTCTTTTATCTAAAAAATAATGTAGTATTTGTGGGGTTCGAACCCTTGCAATAAAAATCTTGAGTATCATTTTCTTTCGAGACTAGCACGCTAACCACTAGACTACTCAAGTCCTGTTGAAGAGTGGCATTTAAATCATGTTTGTGATATGACCCTTGACTTAATGGACTTCAAGTATTTCTCGAAAAGATGCGAATGTTATGTCATAAAAGTATATTTTTAAGGTATAGTGGGTCTTTGCTCCATATTTTTGGTAATCAAAAAATGTTTATTTTTATGCAAACTTTGAGGATTAACTTTCAAAAAAGTGGAGCGAAGACCCACTCATATCGAAAAATAGTGTTATAGTATGAGGAAATGACTCTTTTTGCCCTGGCCGGCCCTTTAGTTTGTTTATAATATTTCATAGGCAAATAATTTCCATCTTTGAGGGATTTTTGCAAATTGTAGAGATTTTACATAAAGTATATTTTAATGTTAGATGAAATATCAAGGAAAATTTTGATATAATCATGTATAATTGAAATTTAATTTTTCACCTTCATGTTTGTCACACTATAGGCTTTTCACTTGTCATGTTCACCCATCTTCTCTATTAAAAGATGCTTTTATGCAAGAGAAAAAAAAAAACAAACATTATGTATCGAAGGAAAAGGAAACAAATAATTTTTTGTCAAGACCTGGTTTATATTGATATACTGTGGAATCATTATTGTTCATGGGGGACCAATGTTCAAGATGTTCATGGATTTCATGTGTAACCCTTACCCAAAAAATTACATCCACATGAATGTTTATTTTGTAAACATATTGTTTCATTGAATCTACCGTATAAATGATAGGACTGGGCAATAATACCGATATTCCGGTATATTGCGGTAAGTTGACCAAAAATATCAAATTGCAATACGTTTTTGAAATACCGATATACCAACAAAATGCTTGGATTTAGGAATTCTGTCATAAAATATAAAGAAAAGTTGTCAGATAGGTTTGTGATGATGCCAAACAGAAAGACAAAAGCTGTTGTATTGGTGTATTTAGTTGTTTAAGTTTAATTCAATCAACAAGATATCTTTTATTGGTTATTTATCATAGTTATGTACATTCTACATGTAAAAGGCAGTTACAGTACCCGCATCGTTATTCTTTACAATTCTATCATGTCCTATCGTGCGTTTATCCTATCGTATCGTGCGTGTATCCTATCGTATCCTATCGTATCGTGTTTTCCGTTTATCAGGTTTTGCGTTTTCTATCGTGTTTTTCGTTTATCAGGTTTTGCGTTTATCGTGAAGATCGTTTATCAGGTTCTATCGTGTATCGTGTTTTGCGTTTATCGTGTGCATTCGGAAACTCTCGCTTTTTATCTTTACCTTGAAAAGAAACACCCGAGATATCTCGAGTTCATCTTTCGTTTTGTTAATTTATTTAGGATTAATCTAACTGTTGAACAAAAAGAGAAATTAATACTCTAACTCTGGTATATTTTTAAAAGAAAATAAATAAATAAATTAATTAATTAATGAATGAATGAATGAATTAATTAATTAATTAATTAATTAATAAACGTCAAGTACCGTCACCAAGGAGAGAGCACAAATCGAAAGTCAAATTCTATTTTTGTACATGAAATAATCGATCTACTATTTTAGTCATTTGTTTTTTTTTTTAATTTGTCGATATGTAAGAAATATTTTTGTCAAAGATAGAAATATTATAATCCCTTTACACAGTCAGAGTCACAAAAGCGAGACCTTTATTAACTTTGTTTTGATAATTATAGAAACATAAAACATTAGGTATGTGTGCAAAAAATAAATTATGAATAAACAAATATCAGTATCTTTATTAAGGCTATCCTTTTTATCAATAATGGAAACATAAATTTTGTCTATGCGCGTAAGTTTTGTTGTTCCTTTGTATTATTATTTTTCTCTGATAAGTATATATTATAATATAGATGTTTGCCATTCATATATAACTACTGCATTTAGAAGAAGTAAAAAATAAATAAATAAATAAACAAAACCACACAAATTTTTATTATACATCTTACCTACTTCGGCACGGAGTTGAAGTAATATACCGTAACTTAGTGACAGGTGGAAGCGCTACCGTGACAAGAGAACTGACACCTACCTGCCTAATCAGTACACTGTCTTCTTGTCAAGTCAAGACCCCCCCCCCTTTCCCCTACATGACCGGCCCGTGTGTATTCAACGTAGACATACCTGAAGTCTAGCTCTCACCTGGTGTCAAGTATTTACCTTGAACCCTACTGGGTTTCAATGAAATGCATCTACTTATTTTCTGGATATTGTTCATGATTTTTATGAACAACACTTAATTAACAATTAAAGATTTTATACTAAGAAAATTGGTAAACGTACACTTCCGTTACAGATTAAAAATTGAATAATTGAATCAAATAAAATATAGGCGAAGTTTGTCCTCCAAACTCCGTTGATTTAGTTCATTTGTATATTTTTATGTAATTTTTATAGGTTTACAGTCATAAACATGATTGGTGTGATCAAATAAAAAAAATGCGCTTGCGGTACTTCTGGATCTTAGTGTTTTCTGTGTTGTTTGTCGTTGTTACATGTAAAGGCGTCTCAAAGATACATGAAAAAAAAATCACCCGGTTCTGCGGTGATACACAAGACTGGTAAATACCTTGTATTTAATTTTATTTGTGTTTATCGATTGCATATAATACGTGACAATATTTGAAGAATTCAATATATATTTTTATTCTATTTTATTTTTATTTATTTATTTATTTATTTATTTGCTTTTTGAATCGGATTTTTTTGGGGGGGGGGGGGTATGGACCTCCCCTTCCCCGCTGACTGTGCCTCAAACGGGGTTAAGACTTTCATAATTTACAAAGTTTTGTCTAATTTTGCCGATGTAGTCCTATATAAGATAAGTTTTGTAACAATTATTACAAAGTCTAATAGCAATAATTGACAATTATTCAATCCGAAAATTCACTTGCCAAATTGTGGAAATTGATTTATTATTTATTTTTTGTGTGTGTTCTAATATGTTGTAAACAAGTGTACGTAATCATTCAATGTTATTTAATACAAAGTTTAAGTACCCAATAAATATATTCATATACATTGTAAGCTTAGTTTACACGTATCTATAGTAGATAAAAATTCTGTTATTGTAAATGCTTATAACACAGGCACGCTAAGAAAGCAATATCATTTCTTTGGGGGCGGCCGGGGGGAGGGGGGTGGGGTCTAAAAAGAAATGTTTTGAAAAGCAAACAAAAATGGCTAAAGACATTATTATTGTCGATGGGCAATATTATATAAGCATTATATTACTACTGTATACTACACATGCTGGTACACTGTAACATTTTTTTTTATTTATACGACTGCATGCTCTATTCTAGCTTAATCTTACAGGCCCATAAAAATACCAAAATAAATACAAAAGAATGGAAATGCAATATTTTTTCGGATAATAGATGATGACAGATCTAGTGACGTTTATTAATTTTATGAAATTCGATTTTTTTCGCAAGTCTCCTTCCTCATATATACATATACAATGTATGTAATTGGAATGTACTTGGAATATGTAAATAATTTCTACGTGCACGGGATATGTGTGACATATATATTTATATATAGGAGAGATTAATTATTCACAGTCCAGTGCACGGTCTGTCTCAATGCAACTAGCAATTTCAGCAATTTTAAAACGTAAAAGAATTTAATTAATTTATATAAAATAGAAATCAAATTCATAAAAACTTGGAGGAGAAAGCATTAACCTTAAAATAATTATAACAATAATTTTTCAATCCCCCCTTAAATTATGACTAGTATTTTTTTTTTTTTTTTTTTGTAAGATTTGAATTATTAAATACAGACTATTAAAGGTGATTTTGGATATTTCGCAGACTTCTAGCAAAAGATATTGAATCCAAATATTTCATTTTTTCTTTTACATGTTTTTCCGTGAAAATAATCAATGTTTGATATGAATTTCATAAGGTTTTATTTGTGAAAATAATGAATATATTTATAGCGTTTCGTGAATTTATTGCACTTGGGTGTAAAACTTCGCTTATCTATGGACTCAAATTTCAAATTTAATGATTCGAAGGAATTTCGACATTTGTATAATTACACAAAAAATCGCCTAATTTCCATCATAGAGTGGAATTATTCTTAAAATGATTACAGTTTGAATTTGATGACGATCAATTTTATTGACAAAAACACCATATCTTTTACAAAGCATAATTACTTCAAATGTTTTATCATGATAAATTTAAAATGTTTTATCATTTCGATTTGCTGCTTTGTAAGTAATTAAAATTATCATACTATAGTATATCAAAAAGAAAACTTTTCGTCTTGTCAAAAAACGTTTCGCATTTTGAAACAATCCTATCAGGTTTTGCGTTTATCCTATCGTGAAGATCGTTTATCAGGTCTATCGTGTTTTGCGTTTATCGTATTTTGCGTTTATCGTGTTTTGCGTTTATCGTGTTTTGCGTTTATCCTATCGTGCGTGTATCCTGTCCTATCGTGCGTGTATCCTATCGTATCGTGCGTTTATCCTATCGTATCGTGCGTGTATCCTATCGTATCATGTATCCTGTAAAGAATAACGATGCGGGTACTGTAATATAATAAGAAAATTTCTTTTAAATTTTTGTTGAAAATTTTGCAATACATTGTACATATCGCAATACACTTAAAAATATCGCAATAAATCACAATACGAAATCTCTAGCCAATACCCAGCCCTAATATATGAGTAAACCATGAAATTACGACCCCACAAAAGATGTTTAATGTGTAATATTTTGCTTGCCTGCAAAAATTGGCCCCCACGAATTAAAATGATTCCACAGTATTTGAATTCCTTTGTTTGAATGTTCTAGGTTGTCTGTGGTACAGATTGTGTTTATTGTGATTGCTGTAGTGATGGCACTGTTCTCCATTGTCCTGTTGGTTTTTGGTTTCCTAGCAACAGGAGCAACCAGACAAAATGTGTACTCTGGGAAGAGATGCATTATGGGAGGACAAGTGTCTGCTGGATTTGTAAGTTCATCTTATTATTATTAATTATATTAAATGTACAGAGTATTTGGTAAGTAGATATATATTACATAGCTTATTAAATGTAACTTTTTATCAGTTGCAACCAAGATATGAAATTAATTTGATTACATGTACCAAACACAGGAATTGTGCTGTCGTATCACTAAAAGGAAATATTGGTTGCACAAATAAGTCCCACCCATTTTTCTATCATATATCTTTTGACTTCAAAGCATCTGTACAGCTACCCAACATCAAAGAATGAAAGATAGATGAATGATGCATTACAGCTATTGCTGCAATTGTTGAAACAGCAACGTCCAAGCAACTCTGTGTTCATGGTGTTAAAGAAACATTTTGAGAAAGGACATATTACTAATTTACTATCCTTATTCACTCTGCTATACAGACTATTTACTTTTATCGACATAAAGTAAAACATTGTACCTAAATAACAACTGATAGATTTAGTGAGAATTATTTTTATTTAACACATGTTTAAACAATATTTTATTCACAAAAGAAAATGGGACTGAGCAGCAAGCTCAGTCTATTTTAGCCTTCTCCCTAAGTGAGAATTAGAGGGGATAAAGGTTTGATTGAAATCCATCATATTACCGGTATTTAAAAGTATAATTAAAGAAATGCTGAAAAGAAAAGTAAAACATTCTTTTTCAAAATGATGCAGACAGATTTCATTTTACTTTACAGTTTATGGTGATATCATTTCTTACACTTAATGGTGATGTCATTTCTTTTCAGTTTATGATGATGTCATTCCTGTTGAGTTTAGTCTGGATCGTGATAGTTGGATTGGCTACCATTCCTGTGTTTCTGTACATCATGCTGGGTTCCATCTGTAACCAGGAAGTGTACAACAACAACTACCAAACTGTCAATTACTGCTTTGAACTCAAGCATTATGGTCAGTTCTTAATGTTAATTACTGCTTCAAACTCAAACATTTTGTCCAGTTCTTAATGACAATGACTGCTTCAAACTCAAAAATTATGGCCAGTTCTTAATGACAATGACTGCTTCAAACTCAAACATTTTGGCCAGTTCTTAATGACAATGACTGCTTCAAACTCAAAAATTATGGCCAGTTCTTAATGACAATGACTGCTTCAAACTCAAACATTTTGGCCAGTTCTTAATGACAATGACTGCTTCAAACTCAAATATTTTGGTCAGTTCTTAATGTCACTTACTGCTTCAAATTCAAACTTCAATCATGAATTTCTTTGATAATTTTATACAGTACAGCTCGCGAGTAATTGCCACCACACCATGGTAGGCAGGGATTAAGGCTGAAGATGACATGCATGTACACACATAATATAGATATGTTTGTTTCCTATGTAGCTTATAGGATGCGTTATGATTTGGTACTGTGCAGGGTTGTCGTAAAATTTGAAAAAGCAGGGGACATTAAAAAAGTAGAAGGGGGTCTGGGGTTCCTCTCCTAAGAGGGGGTTGAGTAGGCCTTTCAACTGCCACTAGGGTTCGATGAAAAGAATGATAACCCATTACCGGATCTTGTTTACAACGAGTCCGAGGAAGCTAACTGTTTCTAAGCACGTCAAGTTTTAGCATTTTTCAATTGTTTCTTCACTGTCAGCGGAATCCAGTAGTTTGAAAATTTAGCACAAATGTTTAACTTATTTATCATGTAGTTACCGACAATGCACAATAACATATAAGTGAAATTTTTAATAAAAATATAAAGTGAAATCAACCCCCCTTCTAAATTTTCACCTGATTAAATTTTTATAATTGATCGTTCTTCTTCGTGCTTAGTAAAATGAATAAGATAATTTTTTTATGCATTTAATAGTAGAAATATATATCTTTATAGATGAAGCACAACAATGCACACGTAAAATACATGGCATTAAATTTTCTTCTACATACCAACTGTCAGAGAGAGTTAAAAATCTTGAAAATAGTCCTTTCCCTGTTCATTTGATCTCGTTATTTCATGGAGAGTGAAGACATTCCCTTGTTTTGGTCAACCCTCTTGTGTACCGAAGAATATAAGGAAAGCTATTGTGTACATAACAATACCAACTGAAGCAGCCTATATGTCATTCCTATAAACGATAACTCATAAATCGGCACTTTGTTGGTCGTTTTTTACACTTGAGTTACCTGTCCTTAAAACACAACATCGTACAAATCAAATATTAATAATTAATTTTTTGGGATTTAATGAAATGTATATATAGTGTACTATCTTTTTTTGAGAATTTCACGTACATACAGATCCATCTATAAAATGGTATTTACCATATGTGCAACTTGAAAAATTAGTTGAAAGGCCTAGGTTGAGGGGGAATACCAGAGAAACCAGGGGATAACATCATAATAGGCAGGGAAATTCCCCGACCCTCAGGTCATAGGGACAACCCTTACTGTGGAATCATATTCTGTACACCCTGAGGCTAAAGGCCAGAGGTTGTATGGAATGGAACCAGGGTACATACTGTAAATCCCTGTACACAATTCATTGAGTCTGGATAAGTAATAAATCCTACATGTAAACCTGGCATAATGATTGAAATACTGGTTTTAGAGTTTCATAAAGTTTCTGAATATTTTTAACAATTTTCATTTTTTCCCCTCTAGGTATCTACAGGAATTCCACATATCCATTTCTGGGTGTTGCTCCCCCAGGGAGGGATGCAATCTGTAACCCCGTAGAGTTGAGGGTCTTATGTGATAGGGTCAGTATACGTGTAGATGTAACTTAAGATAAAATGTATATGTAAAGTCTATGTATCATGTCATCTTACATCAAAGCATCACCTCAAGCTTTTGAGATATTTTTTTTACAATTTCTCAGAAAACATAAAAATAAAATTAATATGAATGCTAGCAAAGACATAAATAACAAAAGCTTTGCAATTAATAAAAATCTCACTACATGTCAAGGGTCTTATTGTTTAGTAAATTTCAATTCTCCATTTTATCTTTAAAATTATCAAAGGTAATGAAATAATTCTTTTAAATCTTATAAGTAAGATGTACACAATGAAGAATTAACACTGACAAAAATCATCTGAGAATCATAAGCCCAGTGTTACATGTATCCCCTTGCATTTTATTTTTTTATAAGTTAACTATATATTTTAAAGACAAAATTTTGCCCAATAGATATTAGTTATTCATGTTTTTCAGTGTAAGAAAAAAGCAGGTTAAATGCACAATTGTTTTTACCAGTTGATTAGTAATGGTACCAGATTTTAGGCTTCCAGTTTTTGCAATTTAAAAATATTTTAAGTCAAATTAAGAATACATTTTATAATAAAAAATCACGACAGTTTTTGGAAAAATGTCATCCATTCAGTTTTGACAAAAAGCGCAGACTTGCAAGATCTTGATTACTCCTTGTAATCTACATAGTAGATAATCTCATAATTCCAAAATAAATTAAAATTAAAAAAAAAATTGACCTGTCTTACCTTTGTTTTGTGTTTTCAGTTTGCTGAAGCAGGTCCTCTGTTTTGCACAGCCTTAGCTGGGGCAGCATGTATCATCGTTGGTATGGTATGTACTCAAAATTATATTTTATGCATGTTCATACATTAGATTTCATTGTCAAAGAGGCTTAGTACAATTCTCTTTTCTGCTTGAACTTTTAGTAAGGCGTGACATTCTCGGCGATACATAATTAGCGTCTCTCAAATGGTAACCTTGATTCTCATTGGTTAAGAAATTAATAACATTAGCAACTTAAGATTGTTGTTAACAAACGATGAGATGACATAAGCCACACCTCTTTACTGTAAGAAACGATGTAATTGGTTCCTTGCGTCACTTGTTGACATCTGATCCATTTTTATACCATGTGTATTTCACCCGTGAAAGGAAAGCTGTGTAAATTTCAGTATTGATGAGCTAATCAGGCAACCAATGATAATCTAGGTCACTATTTGAGAGACGCTAATTACGTATAGCCGAGAATGTCATTCCTTACTGAAAGTTCAAGCAGAAAAGAGAATTGTACTATGTGGAATTCAAATCACCAACAACAGGGCAACAAAGTATAAAAGACTAACATTTCATTATACCTCCTGCAAAAAAGTTATAAGTAATAAAGGTGGTTATTCTGGATTCACCATCTTATCCATCTGTCTGTCTGCCAAGATAAAAATTTCATCATACATCCAAATGATCCTGTAATGGAGTTGTAAGATGGTTATACTGGAATTATTATTTCCATTTGACTGTCTGTCTTTGCTTATGTACATGGGTATGCTCAGTATTTAGATCACTTTTCAGCATCTCAAGGGGAATCAAAACCAACATCGCAGAAGTGGTGATTCTGTTGATGCCAAATGAGATTTATACTTTTATAATTCCCTGCTGGGAATAATCAGTTTCATTTAGGACAGATACAGGTATTTCAAATGAAAAATCAGTGGTTTTATCATCCTTTCATATACATTTTTCTTTATTTGGTAGATTTTATTCATGTCTATCCTATCAGCCAACTACACCAGAATCAAAATCTCCAAGGAGCTGACAGATTATCGCAATGCTGTAGATATGGAGGAGATAGACCTACATAGCAATGGAAAGGGGATTCTGGATCAGACCTATGACAAGAGCAGCTACCGGTGATCTGATTCATGGAAATGTTTAAAGATGAGGCATATATCCTCTTCAACATGAGAAAATCCACACTGTTGAAATCTTTGTCCATATTCTTTGTCCATTCCAACAGATTCCGAACATTTTATGAAAGACTGGATGTACTCTTGTATTAGCAATTGTCATACTTTTTAAAAATTGTAGATAAAAATATTAGTACTTTTTTGTATATGTACCATCACTATGGTAACGATCATTTAATACATATGAGCATATAAACATACATGTGACTCCATTGTGTTATTTATGAATCGGTCTTTTTATCTGCAAACTTATCTTTTGTATATTGTATGGTTGTGAAATGGTGTGTTTTTTTCATATATTATATGTACTTTTTGTTGAGTATAAAAATGTGATAAGCAGTACCTAAGGGTTATGTGCAGTAAACTTTTAAAAAATATTTTACAAATATTATCATTTATCTGTGAAAATATATTTTTATGCATTAGCATTCCCAATATTTTTCTTTTTGATGCAGCCTAAATTTTCCACTTGTGAAACAAGTTTTTTTTTTTTTGAAACATGCCAGATTCTGATGAACCAGAAGTAAAACACGCCTTACAAGGGAAACAACTCCCTTAGCACATTCCATTGTTTATGTATTGCTACTTGTAGATACCTTCAGTTTTTATTGTATTTTGTATGTATCATATCATATTGAATTCATTTTTATATATTTTTTGCCATATATTTTGACATCAACTGTTTATCTTTAGTCTAACCTGACCATATCTTTTATATACATGTACTTCTTGAGTTTTTAGTGCATGTGTAATAGTATTTTTTAATTACTATGTTCAATAAAAAATAATATAAATATATACATATATTTTGAATATAAAGGTTGTTTTGTAGACAGATTATTTATTCTACATAAAGTAATTTTATGACATATAAAAATTACCTCTTTTTATGAATATTATCAGGTCTTTTGCCAAGAAAATCAAGAACACATATCATTAATGAAAGAGACATTAAAAATGTCTGATGTTGTACATTTTTATATAAAGTATTGTCTTTGTAATATCTGCTCTGCGGAATCCATAAGAATCTTTTATTTTAAGAGAGGAAATAATGATTTCAGGTATTTCAAATTTATCAGATGCCTCAATGCTCTATGATTTGACGTGTATATTTTTAATTAAATTCACACTGTTTGTGTACTAAGTGCGTGTGCATTATGTATGTAATAAAAACAATCTTTAAGTATAAGTTTTCATCCTCTGTCATATGTAAGAGAAATTATCACTTTAAGGGAACAATATGCCGAGGCTTATGGAATCATGTAAATGTTACGTATTGTAAAAAAATAAATAAATGAATAGATAGAAGGCGCAAAAACTGTGTAGAACTGCTACATCAAATAATCAGCGGCTAGAACGCTACATTCGGGATGCCGCCCACCACGTGAGACGCAGAAACCGCCCCCCGGGGTGTTCCATCGAGTTTGAAGCCTAATTGACTTAATTACTAAAATATATTGACCTACAAGGTACCAGTGAAGCTAAATTCTATTGCAATATTGCTATACCATTTAAGGTATTAGGAAAGAAACCTTCTGAGGGTCAATTTTGATACAGAATTTTACGTCCAAAGTAACTTCTGAAAAGGGAGGAGGAGTGTCTGAGAAAAATGAACACTTTTATGTGTCGTTCATAGCTGTATACTCACCTTGTTTATCTTTTCTCCGCTTCGGGGCCGCCACCCCGAATGTAGTAATTTATCCGGTGATCATGCAGTTGGACAACTACTGCAAGTTGAGGAGGGAATATTTTTACTTTCTTAAGGAAAACTTGCATTTACTAGACGACTACATGAACTAAATTCATAGTTCATAGTCTAAAATTGAAGAGACTTGCAGTGTTCATTTGGGTGACCATTGAGAGAAATTTATATTTTACGTTACAATTATATGAATGCATGGAGTGACGTAGGAAAGCCCAAAAATGTTATTCCTAAAATCTCCTTTGAAGTTTACTTTTTTTGCTTTTATTTTTTATACACATACAGGTAGGCCACCACGTACAATCACATCCTGATGCAAATGGTTATATATAGCCATCAATGACGTTTTCCGAAGGAATACCCAGAAACTTAATAGCAATCTTAGTCTTTTTTTCGATTAAGTTTATGAAAGCTGCCATACGGATGTAAATTTGAATTCATTGCTTTCACCGCAGTCTTCCTAGAACAATGTTTAATGGAAAATACGTATTCCAAGAGTTTCACCATTCAAATAGCTATTATAAATAGAAATCTATCAAAATTCAACATATTGCTTCAAACAGCTGAAATTTCACACTTTACATTGTATTTCTGTCTGTTCTTGTCGGACGTCGTTCATAGTTTGTAAACATTTTTAAGTTTCTTCTCTGGAAAGACTACACCATTTTCAACTAATTTTGCTTTATGGCATCCTCTATTGGAAAAGGGAAACAAAAATTTTGAATGTCATGATCTCTACCTCATTGGCGCCTGAGGATGTGGTAGTTAATCATATGTTGAAAAATACTTTATATTTTTAAAATCTTCTTTACTTATGGAAACCTGGCAGACAAACTGTTGGTATGTTTATAACAGTTTTCAACCTTTTTGCCGAAAATGAATAGTGAAATATGTGCCCTAGGGTGGGTCTTAATTTGCCATATATTTGAAAACCTTCCTTTAAAATCTTTACTCTTCGGCATTTAGCAAGCAAAGTTTTATATGATATCTAATAAGCATAGGAAGAAATTAAACATTTCAGTCACTGATTGGAAGAGTGCATTTCTGTGAAATCTCAGTTATTCATTCACAGTCAGCCACATTTCGGTTGCATCCATGGAAACATTTAACTTATCATTCAGTGAAATTTTCCTGGCATGTATTTATTCACTTTCATGCTTATTTTTTATTGTGAAAATAGTTACATATATGACAGTGACTATAAAACTACATGTAAGAAAACATAAAAAATATATTAATCGGGTAAAATTAAGCAGCTTATTAAAAAGAAACAACCGAAAGATAAGTAAAAGCTTAAGGTGCTGAAACGTATCTGCCATTCAGTTGACGTAAAGGTCACTGAAATGTCATTGACGGCTAATTTCAGTGACATTTCAGTGGTCATTAAGTACCATTCCGTCGACTAAAAGGTGTAATTTCATTCTGTGAAACACATTGTCCTCTACCAAAATTCATGATCCCTGGACTCAAGGTTCAGCCCCCAGGGTGGGACTTAGTTATAATCAGATATTGAAAATTCATCACACTGAAAATTTCTTTTTTAAAGACATCAAGTGGGCAAACTGATCATTACATGTATACTTTATCACAATAAACGCAAAACCCTTTACTTAAGTTAAAGAATTCATGTTCCTTGGGAGCTAAATTGATCATGAAAACATAACACCATAATTGAAAATCTTTTTCTCTACTCATAGACATCTAGCAGACAAACTGTTTATACGATTTTGATGAACACGTAGCCACCTAGCGAAATTGTTAAATTCATGGTCCCCTGGCCCATGGTTCAAACCCAGAGTGGGCCCAAGTTGGTAATATTTTGAAAAATACATCACAACTGTGCAAATCTTCTTCTTTACCCATGAAGACGTACATATAGCAGTCAAACTCTTTGTATGATTACAATTGGACTTAAGTACCTCGTTCGAAAATTAGAATTGATGCCTCCTTGGTCCAACAGTCTTGTCACAGGGAAGGGCTAAGTTGGTCAAAGATGTATTTTGAAAATTTATTACACTTCTGAAGTTTTTCTTATTTACTCCTGGATATCTGGAGGACAAACTGTTTTCAGGATCATAATTATCACCTATAGTTATCTACCTAAATAGTAAAATTCAAGGACACTGGCCCATGGTTCAGGGCCCAGTGTGGGCCTAAGTTGGTTTATTGATAAATAGTCTTCTACTAAAGAAGACTAGTTTATCGTCAATGTGTAACAGGCATTGCACTGTTTGCACAGTAATATTGAGAATTTATGAGCCTTTCACAAAATTCCTTGGTCCAGGATTCAGACCCTAGGATGGGGCTTCGTTGATCTTTAATTGAAAATACATTAAATTTTAAAAACATTTTTACTCATGGACATCTGGCAGACAAACTTTTTACATGATTTTAGTAACTTATCCTGTGCTAAATTTTTTTTTTTAAACTTTTCGACCCTGTCCCATGGTTCAGGCTCCAGGGTGTGGCAAAGTTCGTCATATATTGAAAACTGAATAATTACATCTTTGAAAATCTACATTAAACAGGGATATATAGAAGATAAATGTTTGTCATATTAAGCAGTTAGCCTTCCTCTACAAAAAATATAAAATCCTGGAATCGGGGGCCTCAGGGAGGGGCTTTTAGTTGGTCATATATTGAAATTTATTTTACAGTGTATCCTATCAATTCTAATCCTGAACTTCTAGGGTAAAATCTGCATTAATATGATGATGATAATTTAGTTATCACCAAACTGTAATTTTTTTGTCATACATGTAGCAGTCCAGAGCAGTTCCAGGTGGACGGTCAAAAGTTGTCACACACTGTAAAACTCCTGAAAATCAGGTGACCATCAAGGCCCATGGGCCTTTTGTTATAGATATTTATTTGTTTTCGGTCTTTGCATCGTTCAAACTGTACTTCAAAAATTTCAATGAACACTCTTCTTTGCAGGTACATGTACATGTATTATGAAAGAATGCTTTTTACTGTTTACTTTTGACTGTGCTCTTGCTTAAGGAAGCTCTAAAATCTGCTCACTGAAGTTCTTTTTATGCAGTTAGAGTGATACTAGTATGCCCTTTGTTATAAAATAGAATAAACGGAAATCTACAGCAAATGAAGCAATTGAAATGAATTATTCATAACATTAATTTAGACAAAGATAGAGTAATTAAAACATTATTTGCATTATTTCCCCTATGCAAGATATCAACAGTGACATCTCTTCACTAATACAACTTTTTCCTGCAGAACTATGGCAGAAGCCCTAGATGGAAAATTAACAATATAAAATAATTGCCCAAAGAACATCTTTCACTAGACAGTTTAAGCTTCCTTGAGAGACTGGCTTTGCATAGAAAAACAATTCTCAGAAAAATGCAAAGAAAACAAATCAAATGGAGAAAATTAATAATTTAATGAAGTTAATATGTGTTACTGAACTGGAATATGATAATAATGATATCGATAATGAAGGTATTATGTAGACGTTATTTACTTATTTCGTATATTTCCATTCATTCAACATTAAGTTAAAGGTCTGATAGCACAGTAATTTTTGCATTATCTAAATAAACAATCTTAAGGTCTAACCTATATTGTTCTATAGTTTTAGTTTCATTACTTTTTACACACGACAGAGTAAATGAGTATAAAACATACATGTATTCTATATAATTAAAACATCAAGACATTAGACTAGAATGAACATGAAATAGGAAATTTTTGGACACGCAAGCTTCAATTAATGTATATTTTTTTAGGGAAAAAAATAGCACATTCTTACATCTGTCATTCTCACAACCATGTATCTATGAGTCAACTCTTTACTGTTGAACCCCTGACAAATTTTAATCGATATTCTATTGGTTTGCTTTTCTCATTGAGAAGCACAAATAGAGGCTTTCATAAATTGATATAAAAGGTAAATAGAAAGTAAGTAGTGGACACCTCACATTGCACGTGTTGTTTGTTACCGAAAGGTTTAATGTGATTGGTCGAGAGAAAAGAAAAACAATCAATATTTGTTATTTCTCCGAAAGACGTCGCTGCAGTCAGCTCGTAGAATAAATTAAGAATGAAATTTGTCAGGGGTCCAACGGCAACGAGTCAACT